GGTCATTCTCCAAGCAGTATCCGCAACAATGCCCTGGGTAGTCGGACTAAAGGCAAGGGATATTGATGGTTTTCACAGGGACAGCTTAGCAATCAATTGTCTCCATTTTGTGCTTTATCCAATAATTTCTTTTGTCCATCTAGTTCTCTAAGTGAATTCTGGTAGTTTATTATTTCAACCCTCGTCAGATATATCACACTAAATATAGCTTTTATTGCTGAGAAGACAGCAAATACCATGAAGATTTGCCCTGACCTCTGGGGAGGGCTGTGGTAGATCTTTTTTGGACAAATGTATAATTAGGTTATAATTAATGGCTTCCATATTCATCAAGTGTGTTAACATTGAGTTTCAGAAGTTTAAAAAAATGCTAGTGATTTAATCAATTTTCTTTGTGCTGTAATACAAAACAACAGCTGTTGATTTTCTGCAGCGTAGGAGAAAGCGAGTTTATCCACTGATGCCTCTAAAGGTTTTGCAACAAAAAATAAAAAGGCACCATCTAAAACCTGTGTCAACATCAAACATCTGATCTAGGGATTCATGTACCATTTCTCCAACTAACATCAACACCCGTGCCATTCATTCAATATCATTCAGAAAACATTCCTTAAGTACCCACTATTAGTATTTGTCAACACAATGAAAATATCATATTACATTTCTAAAGCAAGGGGAAAGCCATTTGATAATTCATTAACAAAGTATAATCAAATTCATATTAAGCAAATTAACACTGGACATAAAATTAGTGATAGACAGTTCTGTGCTGTCTAGAAAGTCACTTGAGAGGAGAAATGTGCAAACTGCAATAAGGGACACACCAAGTGTCTGAGTATAGGTCTGAAGAGCTCAGAGAGAGAATCAGTCAGTGTTGACGGAGTAGATTAAACATGAGTTTATAGTGGAACTGACATCCGAGGGCCCTCAAGATGAGTAGAAGTTCTGCAGGTGGAAAGGGAGAAAGAGAATTGCAGGTAGAGGAACTCACAGAGCAAAGAAGCATGACTGCTCAGGGCAAAGCGTAGGGCAAGGAGACATCCTATGCAGTGGAGAAAGAGTGAAAAAGGATGATTCTGGGCATGGTGATGGGGTGAGAGGGGAGGGGGAAGGGAGCCCGGGAGTTGGCTTGGAATCTACTGTGAAGGGCAAGCGGTTTCTGCACAGGCACCTTAGGGTTCACAGATTTTAGAAAGATAATTCTGAAAGCAATGAGGAAGATGGCTGGGATGGGTAAGGAAAGGGAAGGATTGTGCATGCGTGTTGGACATTATGTGTTCTTGTGTGCTGTAACTTTACTAACTAAATGTAGGTAATTAATGGTTTTACAAAAATTAACTTCCTGTAGTGTTTAAATAGAGTTATTTCTAAAGTTTAAGATAAGTAATTCTGCCAGGTGCGGTGCTCACATCTATAATCCTAGCACTCTGGGAGGCTGAGGCAGGTGGATTGCTTGAGCTCAGGAGTTCAAGACCAGCCTGAGCAAGAGCAAGAACCCATCTCTAAAAAATAGTTAGGTGTTTGGAGGGAGCCTGTAGTCCCAGCTACTCGGGAGGATGAGGCAAGTGAGTGAATGGCTTGAGCCCAGGAGTTTGCTGTGAGCTATGACACAATGGCACTCTACCCAGGGCAACAAAGTGAAACTCTGTCTCAAAAAAAAAAAAAAAAAGATATGTAATCCTCTTGAAAGAAAGAAAAAAGACAGAAAATAACTTCAATATTTTCTTCTTCTTATGAATATAATACATGTTAATTTAAAAATAGGTACATGATACAAATTGGGTTAAAAAGGATGGTAAAAGTGAATGAGGATGATACTGCAGGAAAGAAACATCGAATATAACTTCAATTCCACTACCTTGAATTAAACATCGGATAAGATCGATGATAGCAATTTGGACAACTGGAGCCAAGCTCATTTTAAGCAGAAATAAGTATGATAACTTTGGCCTCTCTTTGTGGAGTGAAACTTGCCAAAGAAGACATTTATTACTTCATTATAATAATGATAAATTACTCAAAATTAATTCCAAAAATGTGCTAAGTGCCAAGCACGATGATAAAACACAACTGACAATGGTTTTCTATTTTGCAATTTACACTTCTGTAGCAATTCTCTTCTGTCTTTGAAGCAAAAATGAACAGTGCAAATAGTAAAAATGAAGAATCTCTTCAATCTTTAATTACCTTCAAGTGGAAACTCAAGTACTGAGGAATGATAAACTTTTATCCATTAGTTCAGCAACTCTTTAAGAAATACCAATTATAACACTAAAGATAGATCTATCAGTGAGCAAAATATAGGCATGGTGTTTGAGTGAAAAGACCTCATGATTTTGTAGTTTAAAAAGATATTATTTCTCCCTCCATTTCAGAATAGAAATCTCACCCTTTCTCAAGGTCTAGCTCCATTTCTACATTTCTATGATGTGCTCTTGACTGTTCTGATCTTGGCAAGTTTGTCCTTTCTCTGACATTCCATAATTCTTAGAGATGGTGCCATTATGATTCAATCTGTTCATACATTATCTGTAACTAGACTCTATTAATAATGCATACAATTTCTTTCTCCTCAATAAGATAAAAAAATTCCTTGAAGACAAAGACCATGCTTTATTAGTTGGGGTAGAGTTTTTCTATCTGGGAAGAACTGAGCAAGGCATTTTAGAAGATTCCTGAGGAGGCATTTAGAGGTGACTAATAAATGCATTCACTGAAAGTCTGGTTCTTGGCTATACCAAGAGATGTCAATAAAATCTCTTAGCACTGTCCTAAGGATTAGATAACTCATAATACTGGTAAAAAGGAAGGGGACCTGGTGATAATTTCTTAATGAAAGCTCATGGTACATCCTTCATTTACTTTATTATTTTAAAGGTAAATTGTCCATTATTTCCTAAAAATGTACAATTTAAACATCCCTAAATGACCAAAACAACAATCCAATTAGTTTTTCATTCAAAACCATAGATAAATTAAAGCTCAGTTATACATCAAGTTTGTAAAAGGGAGAAAACTTTGATTGCTGATGTTGTCATCACCACATTTCCAGCTAATTTAAAGCTATGACAAATTAGAATATCGATGAACAATTAAAATAGGGAGGCCATTCTGTGAATCCAATCTGTACTCTGGCATTTTGAAAAAAAGCTTGTTGTTATTTGCAGGTTTCTCTAGAGCACTTTAAAAATCAGTTTATATAATTTATTAGACATGCTTTGAACAAGCATCTTGATAAAGTACAGCTTAGTATCCAAATTAAATATGTTGCTTAAAGGAAACCGAGCTGTAAGGAAACTACAGTGCAAAGGTGAAGATTTATACTGATAGAACTAGGACATGTTTGGCCTTCATTGTAACCTTTAAAACTTGAAATTATTCTGTTCAAGGTTATTAGATGAACACTTGATCACTATCAAAAGCTTCTAATTGATGTATGTATAGTTCTAACCATCTTATCAGTCTGCAGAATTGTTTGAGATGAAATTTTCAGACACAAGTAAACAGCCAGGGACATTTATGCCATGTGTCAGGTGACGGTGGAGAGTTACAGACTGAAAAGAAACAGTTATCAAGAAAATAGAAAATTCCTATGAAAAAATTCTTATTTTATATGAAGTAGAATTTATTAATTAAATGGTCATATCCCAGATATTTTCATTTTCTGTTTTACAATGGGTACTTTTGCAGCCATTTCTCCCTGTTGGAAGACAAGTTTATTAATATTTAAGAAGTGGCAAGACTTTTCAAAAATTATCTAGAAATGCATGTTGTTTTGGGGTTATTCATCTTTACAAAGTCCCCTCTTCCCTACTCTGAAGTCATATCCGTCACAGGCTACTAAGAGAAAACACTTATAAAAAAAATCTTTGTATAAATTAATTCCAATCCTAATTTTAAAGCCAGCCACAAGTGAAGGTAATATATCAAAACATGCCCAGAAGACAGTATTTTCTTTCTTTTTGCACAGAACATGTGACTGGCCATCACTAATGGTAAAATCTACGCTGTCACAAGAACAAACCTTCATCTTCCAAACAACAATAAACCAATTCATCTTAACAAAGAACCATTTGAAAAGGAACTCTTTACACCCCTATGCACAAAGTTTCTTCCTTGATGGAATCTTAGACTCTCACATTCAGCTGTTTAAGATTCCCTTCTGCTAACCATGTGGACCAAAATCAATTACCGACTTTTCTTGAAGATAAAAGCCATATTCCTCCCTTTTGGGGGGGGGGCACAAGATCTAGCACACAATGATGTGCTTAAGTATATTTCACAAGCAAAGAAGGAATCTATGTACAAATTTGTTGAGAGATGACCACACAATAAGTAACATCCCGGTGTCTCTTTGAGCCTGTCTGATTCTGGAAACAGATGTTTCAACAAGCCACAGAGCAGGGTATGGCTAATCCAATTTAGGATATCTCATCAAGTTTCAGTTGGCTAATCCAATTTATGACATCTCACCAAGTCTTAGGGTTTACAGTGATTTATTCCAAACAAGAGATAATGTAACAGAAAAGGCAAAAAAAAAAAAAAAAAAAACTCTACCAAGGACATTCAAAAGCCACGTTAGTGTTAATGAGAATTAACTTAATGCCCCATGGAGAGAATATGGTCTACTAATCACGGTCTATTTCTGTAGATAAAATATTTACCCTTTATTTCTTAAATCTTAATTGTTGTTGCAGTATTCATTGGTGACCAAAAATGTATAATGGATAAGAATGTAAATGAAATACATAAAGCTGATTGCTGGTGGCTATTTATTTGAATTCATATTCTCATCCAGGCCTTTCTAAACACCTGATGATTTACTGAAATATTATGGGTAAAAAAGCCTCATGTTCTTTGGAAATGAACATTTAATTTTTCACCATAGCTGTTTTTAGAAAACATTATTGGTGGTGACTCTGGTGAACAGAGGTGATCAGTAATGTGGGTGTACATTCACACGGACACATCAGAACACTGTAAGTTGGGTTCTGACTGACCTTCAGGTTGATATTGTGCTATAATTGTCACCGTCTGTCCAGCCCCCTTTAGTGCAGCAGCTGCCTGTTCATGGGACGCTCCACGGAGGTCAATGCCATTCACCTGAAAGAGAGGAAGCAGGAGTTTTTTGGTTATTTCATTACTGACAGAAGAAAAAAGTTTTCCAAAATTGAGAGGCTGAATAAGATTGTGTTACTTGCAACCTCAAAACCCCTCATATCCTACTCAGACATTTGTGAACTTAGCTGGTGTCACGGTCCAGATAACTTTTAGCTGAGATGTGAAATTGCATCTGTGGTGTTTGTGCCATGGTCTGATAGAGTGGAAAATATTTTTTTCTAGTGACATGCATTTAATATGCCCTGCAATTTCTAAATTTCTGGGATAAATAAAAGCCTTCAAAATTAGAAGGAAAACAGGATCATAAAGAGAGTCACGTGTAATATACCTAGATAATTACATGATGACAGATTAAAATATTTAGATGAGGACTTGGGGAGATGGCATAAAATGGGCCTGGCTGGCTGCCAAACCTCCTTTGGTCAGTTGCCTAGTCCTGTCATCCTGAGCCTGGGTAGACAGCCCTGAGCCTTGTTCTAAAATAAACTTGACTGCCCCATTTGTCGTGCACAATTCCAGAATGATTTCTGACAAAATGAAATGAAGAACGCCTAGAGTTTAATTTTCTGTTGCCAACTCCCACTTTGGGTCCCATACTGAAAGAGAAACAGAACATCAAAAAACAAGCCCCGTGCTCCATCGGGGTGAGAATCATTAAGGCAGATTTAATAAGATGCAAACATCAAAGTCTTTCTCAAATCGTTTTAGTCTAGGTCAACTTTTGCTAAGGGCTCTCCAATGACAGGACTTGAAAAGAAGCAGTGGGTGGGCGACAAAGGTGAACAGGAGAAGCCCCTCAGCTTTTCTGCTTGAATTGAACCCATAGTAAGTCCGGTCTTCCACCCTACACAGAACTAGAACTTGGAAGACGATATTAGAATCCTGCCAGGTTACTATGGCCTGTAAGAGAATAAGAGAACTGATCGGTTTATCTGAATGTAAAACATATAATTTTATTTTGCCTGTAAACAATCCTCTTTGACAACGATATTGAATGGTAGATGGATGGGGGGCGGGGTTTACCATCTTAATTGTTCCCTCATCAGACTTGGAACAAGTAGGTGGGAATCTTCAATCTCACATCCTGGTCCTTTCAGAATAACATTGTTCAAATCTCCTTATTTGCTTTTGTAATTTTCCTTGCCTCTATCCTGGCTTTTTATTCTGGTGAACGCCTTCCTGCAAGCCCCGATTCCATGGTGGCATCGAGGAGTCCGCTGAGTGAGGCCTGGGCTGGCTGTGCCACTCATTAGCTGACTGACTGTCACATCGGCTCTCTGAGCCTGGGTTTTCTCCTACCTCCCATTAGGCTTCGTGAGTCTAAAGCCCCATTAAACTGTAGAACTCCATATTTTCTTCTTGGTAGATGACAGTCATTTTCAGAGACTATCTAGGTTGTTGATGAGTCAGAAATTTGACTACCAGCCAGAAAAGACTGAAAAGGTAGTTTGACCCCTGCCTACAGGAAGCTGAATTGTACAACCTTCTTATGCCAAATAACTTCTTCTCTTGTCAAACAATTAGAGTGAACTTTTTATTCAAAACAATATATCATCACGACAAATAAATTCTACCTCAGAAACATATAAAAGGAAATGATATAACTTCCCTTATCAATTCCATTTCCAGAGGTAACCACTTTCATGTGTACTTTTTAAACAATTCACTATATACACATTCAAGTACGAGTTTATCCTTGTTCTCTTGCGCTCACTATATACATATTATAATATTATTGTCTTTTTATTTAACCGAAGATCGTATCACATATACAAGCCTGCAGTTTGTGTTGCTTTTATTTCACAACAGATCTTGGACATCCTCATCACAGCTCATATTGTTCTACCTTTCACGGGAGCCTGACCTTCCCCTTCCCCGGTGTGGGCACACCAGCCTTTTTCCGTGAGATCGTCACTGATGTGCTCAAAGTTGTTTCCAGTTTTTTGCTACTATAAACACTTACGAAAGTGTTTCTGAAGGATAAATTCCCAGGAAATGGAAGAGTCAAGAGGCACATATATTATTTTTTTCTATTAATTTGCTACTGCACTTTTAAAAAATGATTATTTATTCAGTAAATATTTAGAAACTAATAAAGATGAAACAAAACAGGCCATAATGTCATTGCTCAGATAATGTACTGATATAAGAAGTAAAATATGTATATACACATCATGTGCACACGTGGAAACTAAAGCAGTATAAAAAGGCATAAAAATAATGAGTGGAGGGAGGGCGATTGGTGGGACCACACCTACCGTGCATCTTACAAGGGTACGTGTGAATCTCTCTAAATGGAGAATATAAATGTCTTAACACAATAACTAAGAGGATGCCATGAAGGCTATGTTAACCAGTTTGGTGAAAGTATTTCAAATTGGATATAAAACCAGCACACTGTACCCCATGACTGCATTAATGTACATAGCTGTGATTTAAAAATAAAAAGTAGATTTTAAAAAAAGGCATAAAAATAGAAGAGGCACCTACATCCTATCATTCTCCCCAAAGGTAATCATGTCGATGGCTTCTTGTGTATACTATTTTATTTTTTGTTATGACTATAATATGGTTTATAAGATATATATTTTTATTTATTTTATATTTTTTGAGATGGAGTCTCATTCTGCCACTGTGGGTAGAGCGCTGTGGTGTCATAGCTCACAGCAACTCTTGGGCTCAAGGAATCCTTGCCTCAGTTATTTCTGTTTTTTTTAAGGGGGGGGGTCTTGTTTTTGCTCAGGCTGGTCTCGATCTTGTGAACTCAAGCAATCCACCCACCTTGGCCTCCCAGAGTGCTAAGATTATAGATGTGAGACACCACGCCTGGCAAGACATATAATTTTAAAATTTTATGCAAATAATATCATATTCTACACATTGTTTTATATCATATGTTGATTTTTCTACTTACCAATGTATCTTAGACAGCTCTCTTAATTTACATGTTTCTACACATAAATCTCCTTCTTTTTACCAGCTCTCAGTACCCTACTATGTAATATGAGAATTTATTGCACCATGGCACGGTCAGTGAACATTAGGTGGCTTGCATTTTGCTACTGTAAATGATGCCATAATAAACATCATCCAACAGTGGAGTAAAGGATGTGACTCTCACTTTGTAAAGCCATCAGCCATTGCCGCCAAAATTGTAGCATTAAGTTAAATTCCCACTAATAACATACGAGTCTCATTTCTTCACATTCTCATAATAATTGCACATACCTCAACATTTGACCCTTTCGATTCTGATATACAAACAATTTTAATTTTAATTTTTGTATTTCTTCAGTAATAAGATTATTGAATTTATCTTCCTTATTTGAATTAGTAATTTGAATATATTTTTACATAAAGTGCCTCTTCATTTAGTCTCTATTTTGTTCAGACAGTTTAATCTTTTAAAAATGTATCTGGGCTCGGGGCCTGTGGCTCAAGCGGCTAAGGTGCCAGCCACATACACCAGCCTGGGCCTGCCAAACAACAATGACGGCTGCAACCAAAAAATAGCTGGGTGTTGTGGCAAGAACCTATAGTCCCAGTTACTTGGGAGGTGGAGGCAGGGGAATTGCTTGAGCCCAGGAGTTGGAGGTTGCTGTGAGCTATGATGCCACAGCACTCTACCGAGGGTGACAGCTTGAGGCTCTGTCTCCAGAAAAACAAAACCAAAACCAAAAATAAGAATTAAAAATTTATCTGTATATAAGTCCTCCCTCTTAGATAACTATTGCAAATATTCTTAGTTCATAATTTGTATTTTGTATTATCACATTTGTATTTTGTGTTACTGTATTTTAACTTTTCCCTTGTATGTTATTTAATATCATAGAGAAATTTAAAAAAGTTTTCTATAGTCATATTCATTGTTTTTTCTTTTTTGCCTTTGAGCTTTTGTATTATATTGTCCCCATAGATTTTGCAAATTATCCACGTCTTTCTATAGTACAACCATAGTTTCATTTTTAATCATTTAATATTTAATCTATGGGAATATATTTTGATATTTGATGTGAAAACCAAGCTAACAGCCACCATTTCTTAGGCTATTTTCTTACAGCATATCTTCCATCATTTTTTTTTAAAATTCAGACAGAGTCTCACTTTGTTACCATCTGTAAAGCCCGGTGATATCGTAGCTCATAGCAACCTCAAACTCTTGGGCTCAAGCGATTCTCTTGCCTCAGCCTCCCGAGTAGCTGGGACTACAGGCACCCACCACAATACCTGGCTATTCTTTTTTTTGTTGTTTAGCAGGCCCTGGACCAGGTTTGAACCCACCAGCCCCAGTGCATGTGGCTGGCGCCGTAACCACTAGGTTATGGGTGCCTCGTACCTTTCATCATTTTAATCATAGTCTGAATTTTTTTCAAGACACTAAGAAAAGTACATGGAAAAGCAAGAAGGAGCAAGAGATTTAGAGTCAGACAAATCTGGGACTTCTCTGAACCTTAGCTACCTTACCTGTTAAATGAGTATAAAATCTATCCACCTGTCAGGACCGTTGCCGGTACAAACCGGCATTCAATAGAGTATTTGTTAGCTCATGGTATCAAAGAGCTGTGATCATAAATGATGAAATAAAATCTACTCAGGGCGGTGCCTGTGGCTCAAAGAGTAGGGCGCTGGCCCCATGTACTTGAGGTGGCAGGTTCAAACCCAGCCCCAGCCAAAAACTGCAACCAAAAAAAAAAAAAAAAACCCTTTAAAAGAAATAAAATCTAATCAGAATTAACCAATGTACAGAATATACTATCTGAACTATTTCTTTTCTTTTCTTTTTTTTAAGGAACACAACATTTTTCAGCACTGGAAGAACCTCAGGAAGGGGTTTGTCCAGCACTTACTCATTACAGATGATCCCCACGTGGGAGGGGACTGGCCCAAAGTCCTTTGAGTCAGCAGAGGATTAGTGCTGGTCCAGGGCTCCCCTTGCCCAGCCCTGAGTTCTTTCTACTGCAGCAGATACGCCCTAATATGTG